ATGAGCATGAAGAAATGTTCTTTCTGGAAGTAAAACTACGTGACTGGCTGGGACACTGACTGTCTGCAGTCATGGGTAGATAGATGGAGGAGAGCCTGCAAAGCAGGAGGCCTGAGCTAGGGTAGCCCATCATCAGAGGCACGTGGATGGCAGGGAATGAGCACTCCTCTTCAGTCACACCCCTCCAGGGCCATTACAGTTGTACCCATCAGGCCAAAGGTGGCCTCAGTGCAACCAGAGACCAAAAGGTATTGAACATGAGCTCATCTCTGTGTCTGACTTCTGACTTCACCCCCTGCTTCCTGTAGGCCATCCCTGCCAAGGTGACACTCTGAACCTCAGTCTGTGCAAAAGCCAGTGTCTCTCCCTTCATTACCTACTCCAAGGAACCTCCCTGCAAGGAACAGGCACCACGGCCCATTCTGAACTCAACACACTGATACAGTGTCTATGTCATCTCAGAGCAGGTTCAGGCTGCCTGGTCATCATTCCACATGTGGCCAGTATTCTCTGTCTCCAACTAGAATTACCCTAGGGGCGATGACTGAACCTCTTAATAAGGTGCAGAGGTAATCCCCCCAACAATGTAGTCTCTGTGCCTCACTTAACACTTTCAGAAGAATGAATGCAAATATAGAGGACATAGGCTGGATCCCTTGGTGTTTTTAAAGAGTTAAACATAGCAAGCAAAAAAAGAAAAAAAACTATTAATTTTCTCACTTACTTAGAAAATATCTCAGGCAACTTATTAGAAAGAATGTGGCTACCAGATGATATGATGTTCGTCCACGTAGCAAGCCCTTGGGGATGACATAGTCGCAACATGGGTACACAAAACTGCACTAACTCACACACATGGGTGTGTGCTGACCCAGAGACGAAGCAGGGCAAAGAGATATTTCACACTCTGGAAATCTGCCTGGGGCCAAAGCACTCCCAAACTACTCACGGCAGTTGTCCTCATCCTGGCCATCCTGGCAGTCCCGGTGGCCATCACAGCGCTTCCAGTTGGGGATGCACTTCTTTGGTTGGTGGCACTCAAACTCAAATCGGTCACATCGCCCAAGCTGAGTGGGGGTGGAGACAGCAGTGACATTTGCTAGAAAAAAATATTTTTAAAATTCAGTTTTCAGTATTATGCAAGCTGGCCAGTAACA